TTTGAAACTCTTATCATTATCTTTGAACTCTATCTTGAAGAGATTTTCTTGTAATTTCGTTTGTGATTTCTTGCCTATAAAAAGGAGTCCTTAGTCCTCATTTAAGATACACCAAAATTACTTGCTTCGTGCCTTATGAAGAACAAAAGAACCGTCCCTGCTTTGTGCCCTTTTTTTCTTCCATTTTCAGCTTCTGCCTTTGTGGTATTCTGCCTATGTGGTTTTCTATCGTTGTGTTGCAAATTTGTGCTTCAAGAGTTTCCAATTTAGTGTTGCCTTTGTGATATTGGAACGATTTTCTGAGCCTAAAGNTTCCAATTTGGTGTTGCCTTTGTGGTGTTGGAACGATTTTCTGAGCCTAAAGAAAAAGGAGATTATTAGTTCTTCAATTTAGTTTCTTTTTCTTTTGATTTCCTATAGTTTTTCATTAATACTTTACTGATGCATGTGATTTGTTCAATTGTAGGTTAAATTAATGTCACAGCTTACACCAAAAGATTGGTTAACACAGAGGCTTAGTTAATAATCTGTTGATGAAGCCCACAACGTCGACAATAATAATCCTACATTACCGCTGGTTAAGATGCAACAAATTATAGAGAGTCCTGAACATTACAGATGTATACTAGCATGCTGATATATGGGAGTGAGTATAATGGAAATGAACAAAATGGTAAACGTCAAAATAATAAATTATGGGAGAGTATATTATAATGATAATCAATAGAACTTGGAAAGTACCAAAACACAAAATAAAGCAGAGCTCACACTTTTTTTATGCTGGCGGAGCACCTGTGCTCTATGTTTCAGAATGGTTTTTCTGTCATAAGGCCATGTATAACGAATAGAATTCACCTCAAAATGTTTCTCCAGAAGCAAATACCAAATCCAGAAAACCACTGTTCATCCACATCATAATTTAAAAAAAAAAAATTCGAGTAGCCATTCCTGTATTAATATAATGTCAGCTCAGTTTTCATCTCGACTTCATTTCCCCGTCTTTCTACGTCTAATAAGTTACATATGCTTATTTTCTCTCTCCCCACCAGCTGCCTCCTGAAAAACAGGCACAGGTCATTCAAGAAAAATACTATCAAATAGGATATTTTCTCACATTGTTGGCATTATTTTTCAAATTCAAGACAAACTAGACCAACCTTGATTTGTATGTGCAAAACTTTCTTTGCAGATAATTTTTCATATGTTCATTGAATGAATGTCTTCTACAGTATCCTCCATTAGCCAATTGTGACATTGCAGTCGTTTCATCAGATGTATATTTACATGGAGACATCTCAGTCTAACCATCCATAGTGCCATTTGCATCAATTATAGCATCATCCAGTGAGACTTCCTGGAAGGAGGTTGCTAGAACATTTTCTGGTGAAGCACCAGGGGGGGGTGAGCCAGAATTATTAGACCAAACAGCATTGTGCAACCATTTCTTCCACTCATTACGCTTCCTCAACTTGTCACCCTGCAAGTTAAGGAACAGAGACCACTAAGACGAAAATATTTTGCCATGGCTTCTTTCAATTTTCCATAATCAGCAGAGACTGACAGGTTCTAAATTTAAACCTTCAAAGACTGGCAATTAGCAAGATGAATTTTTCTTATCCAACATGACACATTTCTAATAGAACACATGCACACATGGAATCACATTTGACAAAACATTAAAGGTATAATTGAAAGTAGATTAATCGAGCTAAAATTTGACATAATTGAAGTTCAGAATCCATATCGTAGAATGCTACCTGTACTTCCACAATGGTCGAATTTCTCAAAGAATCCAAAATCAATGGGACATCGTATGTCAATTGCTGAACCTGAAAAGAAGACCACTAGACAACTTTGATCTGTGCATTGGAGAACACTTACAAATATGAAAAGCAGCATATAAATGAAAATCATATATCAAGCAAAAGCAATTTAGTGGACCGGCACAGCTGACATAAAAGATGCTTTTTCTTGAATGCAACAAAAGAGTTGAGAGAATTAGTCCTAGTTTAGATCCTTGTGCAAGAAGGGATTTTCTAGTTCCAATCATGGTCATTTAGGTTATAAAATGCCCAGGGGAATTCAAGATGATATCAATTTAGATATCTTGAGATCATCTATAAAAGGCATACATATGGGACAGCTATGTAGCAGTATAGTTCAAACTATTTGCATAAAAGAGAGATTAGATAACATGAATCGTTCACACTTACTCGTCGAAAGCCGGCAATCAAAGTGATGGGTACCCATCCTTGATCATCCATGTTGGACCTCAAAAAATTATCTTTTACCAAATTTTCATCACTGGAACAAAGTAGGGAACTGCTTTAGCAACTAATAATAGAGCAACAATAAATCACAGTTCTTTCAAATAGTTCCAAATGACATTTACCTGAAGTAATAATCTATCTGTTTCACAATCAAACTGGGTAAAGGATCACTAGTAGCAAAAAGCATAGGTGGCGGTGGAGGCATTATCGGCATAGGCCTGAAAGACTCTGGGGGCAATGTTGGAATGTAGATAATGGGAGACGACATATCTGTAACATACATATATATTAGTAACAGAACTAGTCCAAATTGTCAAATTAACATAGGACACCATGCAGTAGACTTACCAAACCCCATTTGGCCAGGAAAAACTCTTCCGGCTGGTGGAGCAACAATAAATGGTGGAGCCCCAGGGGGTAATGGGGATGGCATATACCCCATGGGCGGAACATATTGATGGGAAAAATGAGCATCTCTGCGATCTTGATCCCGCCTGCCTCTGTGATTACTATGATATGGTCCATCTCCACGAGGGCGGGGCCCATAGTTACCCCTTCTTGAATTATTCCTTGCAGAAGAATCATTGCCGTTGTGTGGCTGGGAACCCCCAATTCCTCCCCCCGGTCTTGTTCCTCTCACAGGAGTGTCCAGCATAGGTGGTACCATATTAGCATAAGGCACGTTAAACACAGGAAACGGAGGTGGCTGAGGGGGAGAAGGCCGAATAAAGGCACTAGAAGAAGGCCCGCTTCCCGAGGAGCTGCCTCCGCCACGATGCCTAGACCTTTGTCTAGTAGTAATATTGTTTGCAGTAGAATTAACATTAGCTTGTCTCTGAGGTGGTTCAGATATTATAGGCCCCTATCAAAAGAAAATAAATATCAGCAAAGACATTGCGGGAATGCCTCCTCAGAAAAACTAATTAATAAGACTTTTCAGCAGATAATTAAATCTCTGTTAATCTTTATATAGGCCCCAAATTGAAAGATAAATAGCTAGAAAAGAAACAATGATCTATTGGTATATGGAAAAATAATTGATCTTTTTGTATCTTTAACATCTGGTATCAATTGGCAGAACTAGAGAATTGCACTTTTAAATTAGTATTATTATTATCCCGAGTTCAAATAAATTGTATGCGAACCTCCTTGGACCAAATTCTCAGGGCCAGTTAACATTCAACAATCATAAATTTGAAGCAATAATCCCAATCATACATTCACATTTACAGCAAAACTTAAGTAAGTTTTACATACTAAATTAAAATTCACATCAGCGCAGACACATAAAAAGAGACATAGCACAAAATTATTCACCAAAATGAAGCAATAAAAACATTATTGAAATCCATAAGCACAAGCATAAAAGCTAAACGCAGACAAATTTTCATTGAATAATGTATTTTAACCTGAGAAGAAGAGGCCGATCCATTGGGAATAGGTCTGAATGGTTCCGATGATGATCTAGAGCCGGCCCGGATCGATTCAGAGAGAGCGGGCCAAGAAACAGCATCACCCATAACAGAACCAGGCTCAACGACGCCGTTAACAGTTGTATTCCAAGCATGTCTCCTCGGACGGCCTGCATTGCCGTCACCGCTAACATCCGAGCTCTCGGGCTGGGCATCAGGGCTCGAACTCTCAATCGGATCCTTTTCAGAAGAAAAAGACGGCTCCCGCGAAGCCACAACGATCGGCGGCGGAGACGTTGAAGAGCGAGGCGCAGAACGAGTTGGAGAAGAGATTAGGTCAGAATCTCCGAGAACGACAGATGTCCGCGGCGAGACGAGACCCCGCCGCCGAGGACTGTTAACGCTGCCATCCATCGCGGCGGCAATGGAGGTACCCGTTACTGGTGAACGCGGTAAGTGGTCATTGATTGGAGAATCGGCCGTCATGACGAGGCACCAGACAAACAAGCTATCATAAAGAACCAATATAGATTTAGGGTTTGGGTTGGACAGTGGAGACTGGCGATCAAGTTCTTTCCCTTCTCTTTCTCTGTAAGAATATAATATATTTTTTTAATTAATTTTTTGTTGCGAGAGTTGTGGCTATACTGGAGAATTTACTTATTGTCATTATTATTTATTTATTTTCACACAATATTCTTAATTTTTTAATTTATCACATTCTTATTCGTTCAAAAATATAATGTACTTTAAATTTAAGGTAAAACATTTAATTGTATTTTTACAGCTTTATTTGTTCTACTTATTGAAAATAAAATGAGCAAATGAGTCTTTTTATTATATCTTAAGAAAATTTTGAAAAGATGTCATAATTAGGAAAATTTTATATTAATTTGAGAACAAGATTGTAATAAAAAAGCTTGAGATATAAATATGATAATATTTAAAGGTTATTGAAAACTATTTGGGCTAAAGTCTTCTTAACCAAATAGAAAGCAAAAAAACTTCCGCACTTTCTTTTTGACGAATAAATTTAAGTGTACAACATTAGTTGACAACAATAGTTGACAATCATGTATTGTCAAAATTCTACCATGTGATGTAAAAATCAGTTTTTACAATGGATAGATATGATGATGTCAAATAGAATGTTGTCATCCAACGTTGTCAACCAATATTGTACATGTAGCATGATTCATTTTTGACACATCATCAATCTGTAAAAGATTATATAAATTGTGACAGCAACGCTTCATGTACAAAAGCCATTTTGACAGAAAATTCACAGAAAACACACACATGTGGGTCCCGCAAATTATTATTTTTTTAATACATGGTGGAGCCTACTCATTATTAGTATTCTGGTGAATTTTTGTAAAAGCATTTATGTACAAATAGATTTTTTCAAATTGTGATATACAACAAGCATTCTTCTGTACCATAAGGCACAGATTTCTATTCTTAAAGGAACCTTGGTTTAGTTTTGTGCGGGAATGACAATTCTAACCCTTAATTTATTCAGAAATTCTAGTCCATTCTACATTTTTTTTACACTTGTCCAATTCAAGGTCTCTGAAGTCTGAACACATTTCTTCTGGATAATTGAACACTATTTTGTCCATATTTAAATAGAAAGTTAATGTTCAGGCAAAGCAAGTAGATCATGCTAGCTGTACAATCGAGGTTGACAATCACTCACATGGGGGGTCCGCTTTTTTTTTTTTTGAATTGCTTAAACATGCTAACCTCGCACATATATGAGAGATTGTCAATTTCATGCTATTTGTACAATCGAGGTTGTCAATTTCATGCTATTTGTACAACCGAGGTTGACAACCTCATTTGACAATCACTCACATGGATGATTGACCGTTCAGACACAGAAAATTAGAAACTTAACTTATTTTCGCGAAAGAATATTGACTTCTCTAGTAGTTACCTACTAAAAAAATTCAATTATGATACATAGTTTTTGCTAATAAAGTAATTTAATGGATGATTGCTACAAGGACTTGTTTTAGACTAAAGCCTATGCCTTTCTGATTCATTGGACTGTGATAGTCAAATTGTGCTGGCTAGAGTTTATAGTCTCAAATGTGCAATAAAAGATGTGGACATATTTCATTTAAATGTATTATAAATTCAATTAATAATTTCATTGTAATTTGGTCAAATATTAATTAGTCTATGTTTGGCACCGATTAAAATTTTAATTTAAGTCGAAGTCAAAAATTCATTTCAATCACATACTTTATGGGTTCTACAATTTTTCAACCATACATTTAATTAATTTTTATCAAAACTAACTAAAAATCTGATTTGAATCCCTATCAAACATAGGCTTAATTCATTGATAAAAGTTGTTTCGTGGAAAAAGAGAGAGGCTAGAGAAGATAAGAGTGCTATTTTCTCCTGTAAACATTTTTTATCATTGTGAATTGCTATGGCGACGGGAGATGACTTGATCTCATATTGAGGCAAACCCTTTTAAATCTTGCGTATTCTTAAGTATTTATTTTTCTTTTTTCGAATTGATTGTTTTGGATGGAATAGAATTAGGATTTAAAATTCTCAACAGTTGGAGGCCTCGTCCGAAGACGAGTCGACTTGGAGTCTGCATATTTGGATAAGTTATGTAGTCTTGCCCATTTTCAAGAACATATAGTGGCTACATATCTCGTTTGGTGGCAATTAATAGACTCTCGTAGTATACTCTTAAGAGAATAAATCTTCAAGAGACGATTATTAACGATGGTTGAGACGATTACAAAGTCCTCTGTTAACACCAGGAATTTAGGGGGAAATGGGGGACGTGCTATGGCCCTCACCCTACAATACAAGAGAAATGTCAAATGTGACATACATCACTACTGCTACTATAAATATAGGTGGATCATCTCAAGTTAAATGTTGGAACCTCAGTTTTTACACAAATATGCTTGGTAAAATTTCATAATGTAGAGTTTAAAATATAGTGAACAAATGATTATTACAATTACAATGTGAAAACATCAACTCTCAAAGTGTAAAACCGAACCAATCGACCCAAAGTTTCTTCAACACCACCAATGGAGTGACATGTGACGTTGAGCTCAGATTCGTACCCCACCGGATAATGCATTGTCGTCCACGGGAATAACAATAAATATACCTAGAAAAGAATTCGTCGAAGCCATCAAAAATTTTGCCGGAGATATAACCATCTCCCACTTTTTTAACTCTCCATGCTTTCTCTCTTTTGTTACGTCAAGTTCAAGTGAAACAAGCGAATGAGTCTTGTAATTATAGAGTTAAAGAACCATTTGAATTCAAATTCAAATATTGTACTATGAAAGAGACATAATTAGTAGGGTAATTGACCACAAAATTAAGTCCAACCATTGAATTTAATGTATGATCCATAATAAAAATCAACTAGCACAATCATTTAAAAGTGTTCAAGACAATTACTCATATGTCAAGTGGATTTAAGTGATCCACCTACAAATATCATATATTCTTCTTCTTCTCCACTGATTCTCAAACCAAAGGGTCCCAAGAAAAAAAAAAAAAAAAA